AGGATATATATATTATATAGTATAGCATATATATTTATAATATGTGGCATTTAAATATGCAACCTAATATATATGTGCACAAATATATACACATATGTAGTTTTTCTACTTATTGTAGTATATGGAATTTTAAATTGTACTTCATTACTTATGACCTGGCAGGTAGGTAGGCAAGTATACAGATAGGTTCTGTTTTTGTTTTGTTTTGTTTTGTTTTGTTTTGTTTTGTTTTGTTTTTTAAGAGAGATTTTTGCTATAGGGTATGTGAGCTTGTTGGTGAGACAGAGAGAAAGTAAGAAATCACACACACACACACAGAGGAAGGGTGACGCCACACCACAGTCGCTTCTCTTCCATTCTCCTCTCAAGATTTTGAGCATGCATGCACATGTACCTGGCATGAGTTTCAAGCCACAAGATCTGGGACTCAAACTATGTGTCATCAGGCACATAGAAGTCCAGCATCTTAACCACCATGCCACCTGCTGGCCCCTATTTTTTGTTTTTTAATGCCAGAAAGCATGCATGCTCTCTAAAGAAAGAGCAAGCACCCCCGAGTGGGGAATGTTCATGTTGCGATCATTTTTCCTCTATGACTCCAACCAGTCTAGATTTGTGGACTGCGTGCATATGTACCTGGCATGTTTTTCAAGTCACTGGGCATGACTTGAACTGTGACCAGTCATGGGATCCAACTATAGATATACAACTCACAACCACTATACAGATAGGATTTAAAAATAAGGAAATAGATTTAAGATGATTAAGAACTAAGAATTGCCTTTTTTATGGATATTAATGACAAGTATCTTTCACTTGTGAAGGGCATGAATTGTTATCCGAATTGCAGCAGCGCCGGTTTAATGGCTCAGATGGAGGGGTCTCATGGTCTCCTATGGATGATGAGCTGCTTGCACAACCACAGGTTATGAAATTACTGGATTCACTCCGAGAGCAATATACCCGCTACCAGGAAGTTTGTAGGCAACGGAGTAAGCGCACACAGTTAGAAGAGATTCAACAGAAAGTGATGCAGGTAGGTGTCTGATTTGAATATAATTAATTCTCTTTAATTCTAATGTTTTCTGTTACAGTTTCTACTATGTGACTGACTTTTGACTATCTTATTCACACTATATAAAGAAACTTGTACATATGAAACTCACTTCTTAAACTACTTTTAGTGCATCCTTCTGTATTCTTTATATCTGATTTATTCTTAATTTCCAATAACTTATCAATTTTTCATTCATTTACACATCGAGAAAAATTTTTCTATCCTAGCAAAATAGTACATGTAATACATCTGCTAAATTTATTACTTTATGAAACTGGTAGAAAATATTAAATGTGTTTAATTCCTTTGAACTTTCCATTCCTTTTAAAATTGATTTTTGTAAGAAATGTAGGCTAAAATAGTGAAAATCATTTAGTAAAAAGACATTTCTATTGTTTAGAAAAGGCTTGGGGTTTTTGTTGAATTATAAATTAAGTATCTTATCTTAAAAACACAAATTAAAACACCCAATATTTTTATCTAGATTAGTCCATTCATTAGGTGAATATTTATTGTTTATTATGTGGAAGGCCTTGTCCTAGGTTATATACAGGACATTCAAAAAGACTTGTCTTTTGCTGTCAGTAAATGTATGGGGTGGATGTGTTCGGTAGCACGAGGATATGACTGAAGTTCTGTGGGCATTTATAGTGGGAATTATTCTCTGGCTGTACCTAAAGAAGAGAAGTAGCTCTTGAGTTTGTCATCCAACAATGCATACGATTTCATCAGGCAGCAATAAGTCTTAAAGGGAAATTGATGCTTTGTAAAAAGATAAAGAATATCCTGACTAACCAAAGCAGCTCGAATCCCAAGTTCTGTAGAAGAAAAAGGAAGCAGTAGGCCCAGTGGAGAGTTTATGGCCTTTTTGAGTCTTAGAACATGTTCAGAGCACATGATCTCAATCCCAGTCCCTGCACTCGCCAGCTGTGTGATCATGGTCACATTATATCTTCTTTCTTCTCTCCCTTCCTTTGTTTCCATCTTTTCCTTCTTTCATTAAAACAAGAGTAACACTTTGTTGGCAGACTAGTATTTGGAAGGAACCCAAGCATTCAGTTAACAGTAGCTATTTTATTTATTTCTACTAAACTAGACTCTAATAGTCTAGTTCAGTTATTGGCAAACTTTTTCTGTGAAAAGTCAAATATTTAGACCTAATGGATCATATAGTCTTTGTTGCAGCTATGGCTACTTAGCATTGTCATTGTACTACAGGAACAGACAGACCTTCTGTAAATGAGTGTGCATGACGGTTCTCCAGTAAAACCTTATTTATAAAAGTAGGTGGAGGGGGACCAGCAGATGGCATAATAGTTACGTCACTAGACTCTCATGTAGTTGACTGCTGTTCGAATCCAAGCCCAGTGGCTTAAACTCACACCAGGTACATGTGCGTGTGTGCCCAAAATCCTGAGAGGAGAATGGAGGAAAAGGGATTGTGGCATGGCCATCCCACTGAGGGGTGATTTTTCACTTTCTATCTCTCTGTCTTTTTCTTTCTCTCCAGTGAGTACCCACTTCCTATAGCAGAAATCTCTCTTTCAAAAAAATAAATAAATAAAAAAGTTGGTGGTCTAGAATTGGCCTGTAGGGTATAGTTTGCTGACCCCAGAATTAGAACATTAGGATGTCATGGAGAAAAGACTTGAAAGGCAGGAAGAAATTGTATCATGGAAGATGTTGAATTATAGGCAAAGGGATTTAGACTTTGTATTGGGTCATCAGGAAAGTTAGGATGAATTTTTGCATAGAAAAATATATCATTACTTTCCCAGCAACCTAACATATGATAACCACATATAAATTAAAGATTTCTTTTTTTTTAGGACTTTTTAAAATTTGTCCTAAAGTCATCGAAGCAAAAATCATGATAAAACATTCTGCTTTCCTTT